AGTGAGTGTGTGTGTGTGTGTGTGTGTCAGTCTGCAGTGTCTCAGGCGCACCTGATGTGTTTGTTGTCTCAGAGCACCTGTTGGCCGGTCTGCCGCAGCAGGTGAAGTTCACTATCCTGACGGGTCACTATTCGGTGAAGAAGGGCGACGCTCTTCAGCTCAGTAACACTGACTCCATGCCTGTGCTTCACTCGTCCACATGCAGCGCCCGCATCCTCAGCAGCAGCGCAGGTGAGAGAGACACACGCCACAATCAGGTACATTACCAAAACACACAGGGACTTTGGCTTGCTGACGGAAGCAGCTTTCAGTGCACAGATAATAAAAATACATTAAATAAAAATAATATAAAAAAATTATTTTTTTATATTTTATATTAATTATTAATCATACAAATATAAAATTACAATAAATAATTAACAATCAAAATAAAACACTTACTAAACATGTATTAAATAATAAAAAAATTAAATAGAAAAAATATAAATGCATTTTGTAATAAAATATATAATACATATAAAATATATAAATACATTTTAAAGTAAATAATTTAAAAAAAATTTGATTCCAGTACACAGAAAGACAGATAATAAAAATAAGAGTAAAAATATAATATATATTATATCAAATTGTTTATACTGTGTGTGTGTGTGTGTCTTGTGTATATACAGTAAATATATATGTATATATATATATGGTTAGTGTTAGGCTTTATATATAATGTATATATTATTTTATATATGCACGTATACACATATATACACTATCAGTCAAAAGTTTGAAATAATGAAAGTCTCCTCTGCTCACCAAAGGTGCATTTATTTGATCAAAAATACAGTAAAAATTGTGAAATATTATTTTAGTTTAAAACAGCTGTTTTCTATGTGAATATCTGTTAAGCTGTAATTTATTTCTGTGATCATGTCACATTATAAATGTCTTTACTGTCACTTTTAATCAATTTAAAGCGTCCGTGATGGATAGAAGTGTTAATTTCTTCTGATTAAGCTTTGAGTGTCATCTGAAAGCTAGCGGATGTGCTGTGTGTTGTTGATCAGAGCTGCCACACACACACACACACACACACTCACTTACTCACACACAAACACACACACATTTTTTTATTGATTAAAAGTAAATTGGAAGGTAAATCTGCAGTATATGTGTCGGTCGTGTCCGTGACCTGTATTGTGTGTGTGTGTGTGTGTGCAGCTGGTCTTCAGGCAGCAGTGTGTGTTCAGCGTGTGGGAGCTGCGGTGGAGCGGTGTGTCGCCCGTCTCTGTGCACTGCGAGTTCTCAGCCGCTTTCGCTCCTGCAGACGCTCCGGACGCGGCACTCAAACCCTACAGATACGACTTCACTCTGGAACGAGTTTCAGTGAGTGTCAGCCGGATCTGATGAGTCGTGTGTGTGATCCTGAGTGTTCAGCGTGTGGGAGCTGCGGTGGAGCGGTGTGTCGCCCGTCTCTGTGCACTGCGAGTTCTCAGCCGCTTTCGCTCCTGCAGACGCTCCGGACGCGGCACTCAAACCCTACAGATACGACTTCACTCTGGAACGAGTTTCAGTGAGTGTCAGCCGGATCTGATGAGTCGTGTGTGTGATCCTGACGTGTGTGTGTGTGTGTGTGGTGTGTGTGTGTGTGTGTGTGTGTGTGTGATCCTGACCTGTGTGTGTGTGTGTGTGTGTGTGTGTCAGACGCTGTACAGCGTGCGAGCAGAGATCCGGCCGGCGGTGGGAGAGCAGCAGTGTTGCACCGGTTCTCTCTGCAGGCTGGAGGTGTCTCTAACGCGTCTCTCTGAAGCCAGCGACTCAGACGAGGAGTACAGCGAGACAGACGGCCTGCGCAGCAGCAGACTCCTGTATGAAGGTACAGACTCCTCCAGATCTAGGCTAAAGAAAGGTCTTAAGTGCTACACAGCAGAGGTTTACTTGTATAAATCAAGATTTAATTAAAATACAACAGTTCCTTTTCAAAACATTGCATTTTTTATTGTTGCTTTTATTTTTTATTTTCATTTTTTTAATGAAATGCTGCACATCAGAGGTTTAATGTTTTAGCTTTAATTGCACTGTAATACATTTTCCCAACTAAGACTTGTGATTTCATGAAAAGCAAATAATTAAAATACAACAATTTCTTTAGAACAAACATTGCCTTTTTATTTTTATTTTGTATTTTCTATATTTTTATTAAGCAGTTTAGTGTATTTAATTTTAGGTTGCAAATGCATGTTATTATGTTTTCCAGACGGGTTTATGTGTTAAAAGTTAATTAAAATACTGCAATTATAATTAAATTAAATTTTATAATTAAAATACAACAATTTCTTTACAACTAAATATTGCATATATATTATATATATATATTTTTATTTAATTTTAAGTGCTGCATATCAGAGGTTTAGTGTATAAATTCAGATTATTTGAGGTCATTCAGCTTCCCAAATAAACAAATACAACACAAAAACAAAAAATATATATTTTTAAAGCATCAGTTTTAAAATGCAAAGAGTTAAAAAATCTTATTATAAAATAATAATGATTGTATTATTATTATTTTTATTGCTATTGCTAAATAAAAATAATAAACTATAAAATAATACATTTTAATAATGCTATTGTACTGTAAAAATATTTAATTTTTAATTTTTTAATTTTTATGTTTTATGTGCATTTTTGAATCATAATTTGTAAAATGCAAGGATGTTTTGCTTTAGTGTTTGGCTTTATTTGTATTAATAATCTAGATGCTGACATGTGTGTGTGTCTGCAGTGATTGACAACAGCAGTAACTGGGCGGTGTGCGGGAAGAGTTCAGGGGTCGTCTCCATGCCGGTGGCTGCCATGGCGACACACAAGGTTCACATGGAGGTCATGCCTCTGTTCGCGGGTCACCTGCTCGTCCCCAGCATCCGTGTGTTCAAGTACCAGCCGCGCCTCGCCAGCCCCGTCATCCAGCCGGACACCGGTCAGGAGCCAGACTCTCTACTTCTGTCTAGAGCTCGCGTCATGAATGAATGAATGATGCATTTATATAGCGCTTTATTGTGTATTGTTGTACACCCAAAGCACTTTACAATCATGTGGGGGGGGGGTCACTCCTCAACCAACACCAGTGGTTTAGTCATGCTTTAGTGCGATCCATCATCAGAAGTGATGAGAAACTAATGAAACTCTTCAAATGTTATGAATGAATCCAGAGATGCCCAAAGTTGACCTTTGATGACCTTTGATTTTATGCCATGGGAAAAAAAA